CAATGGGCGCCAAGTTTTTGCGCCCATACCAAGTGCGGCACCCGGAACCGCAACGCGTTCACAATACATGGCGCGTGGCCTAACCTGTTGGGTACAGGGGCTCAAATTGGCGACTGTTGCTTTGAGCACACCTTTAATTGGACCCTAATTGAAGGTCTCGAACAGGTACTGTTCAAGAAATGGCCCTCGCTTAAATCGTCGGGTACGCACCGCGCGTTCTGGCGTCACGAGTGGGAAAAACACGGCACCTGTGCTATGCTTAGCGCACCCCTGAAGGGTCATCTCAAGTACTTTGAGGGCACACTCGGCCTGTTTGATCGGTTCCCGTTCCAGGACTGGCTCCAGGCGGCGGGTATTACCCCCTCAAACACTACTGCATATACTATTGAAAGTGTCCGAAAGGCTGTGGAGGCAAAGGTGGGCGCGCGGGTAGAGCTGGAGTGTTGGCCCCATGAGTCCCACCCATTGCTACAACAGATTTATGTGTGTTTGGATAGAAATACTTTGGCTCCCATTGATTGTGTCCGCGCAGATGATGAAGAGTGTGGCACCGGCTCTATAAGTTTACCTCTAGCTTAATGAGTTTTAAAACTTAACATGATTATTTTGTTATATCAATAAATTGTTTATAATTATTAAGTAAAATAAATGTTGATTATTCAGCTAATTTATAGTATTTTAGTAATTATTGTATAACAATAATTTATCAAATTCGTAATTAAGCATGTGATGATACCAGTGAAAATTCTCATATGATACATTATTAATTATTACTAAGATCATTACTAAAATTTTATCTAAGTAGATTACTACTGTATTAATAAAATATTAGATATTGGTTCAATGTGAATATGAGTAAATAAAATACTAATTCTTGTTGTAAACTTTTTATCGCAATAAAATTAATTAATTCTATCTTATTTGTTACAAAATTTGGTGTATTTATAAACTCCAGTAACAAATATATTTTTTATACCGTACATATTTTTACTGCCACATGGATAAACTGTACAGTTAATATAACAATGAACCCTAACATCCAAATGTACTACTAAAGCGACTCTACCAGACATTTACGGACATTTCTCATAAGTTGGTAACTTTTTTGAGCTAAGTCGGCGCAAATCATTATCTATGGTCCGGAACTTCTGGATCTGCAAGTGCTGTTCAACTGCTCAGATATCGCATATGAAAACCGTACGGCCATGACATACACATTAGGCGCATTAATTAACCATGATCGTTTTATACCAAATAAAAAATAAACTCACAAATTATCATAACATTCACAAAAAACAAACAAAACCTAGATGGCCTGGCATCGCGATGGTGTGGCTCTAGATGGCATGTTTGTTGGTCGTAGAACTGACCACATGTATTATACCATGGATGTACAAAATTTGGTTCCTATACCTGGATATATGGCAATCATTGATATATTCGCCGGCGGTATAGACGCGGTGGCGTCCGTATGGGTGGTCGAGAGGTGTGGGAATAGGACTGCGGGGGCCATACGTACAGACCTTACAATCCTCGCTGGCCGTGTCGTCACTCATAGGACCGCAAAATCATGAACCCATTTGTCTCCCAACACATTAAACGGTATACAATGTGTGTTGACAACAATAACACCCTGTTGTTTACCGAGATGTCGATCAGCGGACAGTTGGCCAACGCTGCCGGTATAGACATGCCGTGCCTGACACCCATTGTTAGCGCAGCAATGGTTGGCAACCATATAATAGTTGGCGTAGAGGAGCGGCGGTGGCGCCAACTTTTACATACATTGTACATATATGTACATTGTATACCAATTTGTGGACGCAATAATGTGCGCGCTTTGGTCTACTTATAGATGCCCTCAACTATTACCACCGGTATATACCACGTGTGATTCAGACGCGCGTGTAGTCCGTGTGGATGGGGTCGAGAGATGTGTGAACAGGACTGCGACGGGCCATACCGTACAGGCCTTACAGTTCTCGCTGACGGTGTCTGCACTGATCGCACAGCAAGTTGTGAAGTGATTGCTCGCGCGCGACACGTGGCGTATCAACAGGACTTGTAGTCATGGGCCACGCAATACGGTATGCGTTGGACAGTACGGGTGATCCGGTGGCGGCGGAACCATTGACCACAACAACTGCCCCATTAGATAGCTGTTAACAATCGGGAACCCAAACCCAAGTCATACATCGCGAAGAGTCCATCAAATGATCGACAATTGAAATGAAAAAACAGATGAAACACAACAACAAGTGATGCAAACTAAGGAAGAAAACAACGAAAACGTGAATCAATTGCTGAATAAAACAGGAAACCATGGATTAAATGAAGACACAGACGATCGCTAAATGGGGGGAAACTTACGACAAATACAACAAAATAATAAATACAAAAAATAATACAAAAATCAATACAAAAAATAACACAAAAATGCAACAAACAATACAAAAATTAATAAAATTATTAAATAATTTGTGTAAATATAATATAATAAGTTGCTTGAGATGTGGTGTTCATTGTTGTGTTCAGAAATCACATCCAATACATCCACACTTTTGTAACTTTTCATTCGTGTCGACCTCAACGGCGAGATGTCTTGAGATGTTTGCTTTTTGTCCGCTTTGTGTCCACCATTTGGATCATTATCTGAATCGATAAATATTATGAAAAATTATAAACAATTCAAACATGGCTTAAGTCACAAAACACAACACATACTCATCGCGAGTGTTGTCCACCGATTGGCTGTGTCGGTACTGGAAGTGGTGGTGATTGTCAGTCATAAATGGTTGGCCACAGGCATAGCATTTGGCCGGTTGTCGGCACACAAATACACACTCATTCAACACACGGCCGGCCACTGGGCGTACACCTCATCGCCAGCCCCTGTAATACACGACAACACAACACCTGTTAATACAGCGAATATAATAGCGTTAGTTGTTATCAATGATACATTGGGTGGGCAGGGGTTGGGGTAGACGTAGGGCTAAGAGTTGGTGTGTTGTGAATACCTGTTATGTCTTGAGTCCAGTATCTGATGGCAAGTCTGGCGATGACTTGAATTGAGACAACTGTTCAAATAAGTCGTGTATTCTCTCCATTACTACTGTCTTGAAATGGTTTGCCTCTAAATTTGACAAAAATTACACAAAAATAAATACAATTAATAAATATTTGGTTTAAAAATAAGATAATACTTTAAGTTGTTTGATGTGTGGTATCGATAGTGAGCTGTTCTTCAGCCTTGTGTTCATAAACCACATCCAATTCATCCACTCTTTTACAATGTCTTCATTGGTGTTGACTTTAACGGCAAAATCTCTTGATATGTGTGTCTTCTGTGGCGGACATCGAGTATCAGTTGATTGAGTGATGAATGCATTCATTCAATGCTTTTGATAGTCGGCTAAAACGGGTGTTCAGTTACTGAACAGTTACTGAACTTCAGTGTATTGTTTGGCAACCGATCCGATGCTAAGCCGATGAATAGTGTCTGTAGAGTGTAGTCCAGCCCTTAGTGGTGACCAACCGGGCGATGCAGACATATGGGTGACAGCGGTTCCGGTTGTCGTTTGGGCCGCCCATTGACAAGACCCGAGGGAGTTGTGTGGCTGCGGCCCGCGTCCACTGGAATTGGACCGACAACAGTCAACCCCCAGCCAATCACGTGCGGAGTCTTTAGCCTACTAATTAGCTAGGATCACTAGCCACCCCTCGGCATCAACCGTACAACACGTGATGGCCAGTCGTCTGCAAGTGTTGCCAACAGTTGGCCACTAATCCATCCATTCATTCAATGCCTTTGAGATCCTTTAAAAACAAACATTAAACACTTGATCTCAAAGTAAATAGTCTTAAGATTGTAATGATTGGATAAAACAGAAATTACTTACACTTACAGCGGTTCCAGCGGTGATAACACAGACAATCATTTTGTACGCAATTGGCCACTAATTAGCTATCGATGTCTTTGACCACAACTGAACCATTGATGTCAACCGTGCGCTCAATCCCTGTCTCACCAATTGATGCCATAATTAACTGACTTTTTGAGACATTTTAGTTACAAATGTAAAAAATAAAACCATAAATAATTATAAGTATTTTATCATTGATTACTAATCAATGATTAGTCATTTGGTAAATTTCCATGCTCACATTTATATCTCGCACACAAATACTATTATGCATTAGCAATGAGAGACTATCACAAATAATCATGATTGATTACTATACTCTAATTCATCCAATATAATGATTTTATTGAGGGGCATATATTTAATATGTTATTATTTGTAATGGTTATATATTAATTTTATTTGCCATATATGGCTAAATACTAATCATGGAAAAATCTAATCGTATGTTTTTAATGTTTGACTCATGCCATGAGCCTCAGGTTAACTTTCAGTCTAGCATAGATGTCCCTGATATAATAAATATTAAATTAACATTTATAAAATATGCATAATTGTTTTTAAGGGGAAATTAATAAATTACATTGTATACGCAAACATTGTGGCACCGGGTCTTATGAGTTTTTTATTGCTCAATTATAATTATTTATTTGACCAAGTCAAAAATAATTTATTTGAGATAAATTCTGTTTGCATTTTACAAATAATTTCTGTCTTAATTAAATTTTTGTATTTTAATTTGTCATTTATTAATTGGAAAATATAATATCTGAAAATTTTGAGTAATAAATAATTAAAGTTAAAATACCGCATGCACATTATTTCCACATATTACATTTACAATCAAATATAATATAATATACATGTTGAATATTTTACAAACTGTGTTACAGTTTGTTATTTAATGTTGATAATTAATAATGTCAGTGTTTTATTTTTAAAATCTTTTGTTGAATAATTTATATAAGATAAACATACCATGTTACAAAAATTACAAATGTGCTTAATAAAATTATTTAGTTTTATATTTTATTTATAATAAACGTATTTGTAATTTGGCAATAATTATTTTTATAACTATTTGAATAAAGTAATAATAATTTAGAAAATGTGTTTAAAATGTGTATAGTTTATATAAATTATACTCAAAATTAAACTTTTAAGTATCTATAGCTAAATTAAGAAATGCCAGTTTTGTCATCTACTTACATTTAAGAATTTAACCTGTCATGATCATGGTCATAAACCAAACTTAAATAACTATGTTTTAATCTACAGATTCCTTAAACAGATTTGAAAAAATCTAACTTTTGCCATATATGCAAAAATGATATATGGTATAAAATGACATGAAATACCCCACTTGATACATAATAAATTAACTTTATACTGGTAATCATTATGGTAGTGTAATATTGAAAGGTAGCTTAAATCCCTCACCATTAGACTTATCATTACTTGTAGTCTGTATAAGAATAATGGCATAATTGGTAACATAACCCACAATTGCCAATATTGTGACAGTTTTCAAATCAAACAGAGACAACACCTTAAGCCTAATGCTGTCTTTCATCGACAAAATGACATTCAACTGTTTGTAGTGATCGGTCCCGTTGTCGCCATATACACCATCGGTGATCAAGGTCTTTTCCACCTGCTTGCACAGGGCGGCCATCGAGTTGATCATGATCTGAGACGAGTAGCACAAAAACACTATGTCCAGTATCGATGTGACAGTGAATCCAGTTATACCGATGATAGCGTTGTAGGGCAGAAATCCGACCGACATCGAGCATACCGTGGATGACATGAACATGGCATTCACGAACACCTTGATCAGCATGATCATACCAAGTTGGTCGTTTGTGGTCTCTAGTAGGGTGCGCAAGGTTAGTACATTTTCGCATAGTGTCTGGATCTTGATGGTGTTTGTTTGTAGGCCCTTGGTCCAATCTATATGGTTGAAGTAATAGGAATGTCATAGATTGTTCACTAAAATTTTAAGGCTAAACTAAGACATGACAGTTTTGTGACCCAATGTATAATTAAGATTTAATACTTTTACAAATCTACTTTAGAATTAAGTAGTCTAGTCTTAAACGCTTAAAGTGTTTTCAACACTTTATATACTGTACATCTAATTAAGTGAAAATAATTTATACGCTATTCAGGAGAACACAACCCTCAATAATAATATCAAGTTAAAAATAGTAGTAGTTTAATAATTAAATTATGGTAAATTATGGCATTAGAATAATTCACCAGTACTTAATTTATATATCAAGGGTAGTGTCTTCCTGGTAAGTTTACAATTTTAAAATAATGTTTCTAATAAAAACTTATATTGAAAATAATATAATTGAATGCAAAGTATAAGTGATATACTGACCACTAATAAGCTTTTTGATGGCGAAAGCCGTGAACAGCATTAGAGAAGTGATGGAAAACTTATTCATCCCATAAAAGAGACCGACAATGAAGAACCCAATGGTCTTAAGTTTCTCTTCGCTGTAAACACTTGTCATCGATTGGTCCAGAGATGTGTAGTTTATGGGCAATAGAAAGGCAAATGTTATGGCCATCAAGATTAGAAATATGTCGATTAGCCGGGTCTGGAACTGGGATATTGATAGTATGCCTCTGTTGCACATTTTACCTTAAATTAATTTATAATAGTAAAATTAATTATATTCTCTATTTAAATTAATGAAACAATTTTTTATGTAACATGCTAAATAATATAACAAAAATAGGGTAAACCCACCTATGCTGCGAAGTACAGTGATAAGATCCCAACCATTTTTAAGCAACAAGGTTTTAATAGCGAAGAACTCCATAGCCATAGAGAACGCTGCGAATCCAAATAAAATGCTCATGATGCCTTTATTAGTAGCCTTATTAAACAGGCGGCTAAACACATCATTAGAAAAGGCAAAATATTCAAACAACGCAAACGAGATAATAACGATACAGTCGTAGCTGATAAGTATAGCCTTTTTCAGCACATAGCTATTGAATATTGGACAATTGCCGCAATACGACACACCAAAAGCCATCTGGATCTTTAGCAGCCGACACAGGCCGGATCGTTTCTCTTCAGCCGAGCACTGGTATTTGTCCCGTAGGGCAGCGGCGGCCGTCACTTTGGGATTGGTGTCCACTTCAGGTTTGTTGGCGTACCCGTTGCCCGACTCTATGTCAAGGTTTACTACTTTTAGTCCATTAGTGTCCATGGTATATTCAACCGGTGCTATCATCTGGATCATTAGCAGAATTAAATAACGAGTCGGTGAGTGAAATAAATAAATGAAATAATAATTTACCTTTAGTTCAAATAGTTGATTGCTTGGCAAGAATTTCATATAATTTTTATAATAATATTCTGGTTTAATATTCATGAAAATAACTTTTAAAACACTGTATGCCTGCACTTCTCAGCGCCGCAGACAATAGACAAACCCACGCAACAGAATATTCTGTAACTTATAAAATATGAAACTTAAATATTGTTTAATTTATATAGAAATAATTGATTGTATCTATTTTATAATATTCTCGTTGGGATTATTTACGCATTAGTGTACTTAAACGAGAGCTAAAACATAAATTATCTCATATTTAACGTTAAATTTAATTCAGTTTAAGCCATTATACCACCCAATACTGACAGTTATATTATGTGTGCAATTTTCAAAATTACATACTTTTTATATAAACTAAGTTTATATTTGGCAATAGAAAGTCTATTTAGTTACTGACGTAATGTTAGTCAATGGGGAAACAAATATTAATAATTAATGTAAAATATTGACAAAATTTAATAATGTGTATTAGAGTTAACTACAGGTGTGCGTCTATATTGCCTACAATATAAT